TACGCCCATTGAGAGATAAAGTGGCGGCTATCACAAACTATCCAGAGCCGACCACTGTGAAACATCTCCGCACTTTCAATGGCCTGGTAAGTTATTACCGAAGGTTTATCCCCAACTGTGCCTCTGTCATGAGACCACTAACAGATCTACTTCGAGGAACTGCGAAGTTCGTGTCTCTGGACAACGCGGCTAGACTTGCTTTCTCCAAAGTCAAGGAAGCCATTTCGAACGCAACCATGCTTATGCATCATGACCCCAATGCTCCTCTGAGTATTGCTGTTGATGCATCTGATTCAGCAATTGGAGCAGTTTTGCAACAGTTGACTGACAACCAGTGGCAACCGTTAGCCTTTTTCTCGAGGCGGCTGCAAGACGCGGAAACAAGATACAGTACATTTGGTAGGGAACTCCTAGCCATGTACTGTTCTGTACGCCATTTTCGACATTCTGTGGAAGGTCGTGATTTCATTATTTTCACAGACCACAAACCGTTAACCTTTTCCCTCAGCTCGGCGTCTGACAAATACTCCCCTCGTGAGTCGCGACAGCTGGATTACATTTCCCAGTTCACGTCAGACATCCGCCACATTTCTGGAGCAAACAACTCCGCAGCCGACGCACTATCTCGAATAGCTTCGATAAACTATATCGAGGGTATTGATCTCGTTGAACTAGCTCGGCGTCAAAAGGAAGACCTTGAGCTGCATCATGAGTTGTCGTCCACAACTCTCAAACTGCGACTTTGTCCTGTTGGATCAGACAAGGATGCAATTTTGTGCGATGTCTCTGCTAGTCAACCACGCCCAATAGTTCCGAAGAGTTGTCGACGCAACGTCTTCAATACGTTGCACAAACTCTCTCATCCAGGTGTACGAGCCACCATTAGGCTTATCGCACAACGTTTCTGCTGGCCTGGGATGAACAAAGACGTTAAGGAGTGGGCCCAGTCGTGCTTAGCTTGTCAAAAGTGTAAAGTCACGCGACACACGAAAAGCCCTTTAGGCTCATTTCTAGCCCCAGACATGCGTTTCGACCACGTCCATATAGATATTGTAGGACCCCTACCAGAATCTAATGGATGTACCTACCTTTTCACTTGTGTTGATCGTTTCACACGATGGCCGGAAGCAGTACCCATTAAAGATATTACTGCCGAAACAGTTGCTCGTGTTTTCGTCGAAAGATGGATCGCGAACTTCGGATGTCCATCTTACGTCACAACCGACCGTGGGCGCCAATTTGAGTGTGGATTATTTCACGCTCTAACGGCACTTTTAGGTTGCACTCGGTTCCGAACGACAGCCTACCATCCACAAGCAAATGGCATGGTAGAGCGTTTCCATCGACAGCTGAAAGCTTCCCTTTCAGCTACAAACATACCTCAGTGGACCGAGGCTCTGCCTCTAGTCCTACTAGGTATTCGTAACGCGTTGAAAGTTGATGCTGGATGCACTCCTGCAGAACTCGTCTATGGGACCACTCTTCGCCTACCAGGTGAGTTTGTTTCCCCTTCAACTTTCAAACATGTTTCCGACAGGGCATCTTACGTGACTAGGCTTACAAACGCAATGCGTTCAGTTAGGCCTTCTCCGATTAGACCGCAAACGACTGATGTTTTCGTTCACCCCAGTTTACAGAAGACATCACACGTGTTTGTTCGCCACGACGCCGTTCGTCGACCACTTGAACCACCCTACGACGGGCCGTTCAAAGTGATTAAGCGACACGAGAAATTCTATATAATTGAGCGAGACGGACGTGAAGATACTGTCAGTATCGACCGTTTGAAACCAGCTTATTTCGAAGGCAACCCCATTGTAAGTGACGTTTCAGCTCGCTACAGCCGACCGACGGATGACTCAATTATCGAAATTCTCGACGATGTGCCTGGTAATGCACAGCTGCAACAACCATCGGCGCAACAGAAAACACGATCAGGTCGAACCGTCAGGTTCCCAGAGTATCTGAAGTCATATTCAACTTAGCGATGTGTGTGCCAACCATATTTTTTTACTTGTTTTTTCGAGGCACTATTTTTCTTATTTACCGGCAATGCACAAACCCTCGTACACTTTGCCTTTTTATATCAATTTTTATTACCATGTAATGAAACTTTAAAAAAAACGGTGAAGATAAGCGTAAATTTTTATTTTTCGATATGTTTATATATAAATAATTCCCATTTTTACGAAACGTTTTCGTGGTATTAAAGACTTTTATTTATATTCCAGGTGCAACGAGCACTGGACGGAACGTCAAAAGGAACAGATGACCGCGATCGACGTACAATTCGATTTATTGTGTTTTATTATTTAATTGCCACGACACCCTAGAATAAGTTCAGACAACCAGGGGCCACTTCACGCAGTGAGCCCATCGGAAGAGTTTTACCAGTGGAGAAACCACTGGGTTTTTACTTCCGGCTGGTATCGTCTTAGGGTCCTCACGAACCCACTAGGGGGGAGTGATCTGTAGCGTCACACACTTCCCCAAAATCAATAGCCTAGGGTTTGACGACTTCGACATTGATGCTGACCTTGATAGTTTAACTGGACTCGCTAAGCTGAAGGCACCCAGTCAAGCATCCTCGCCATTTGGCACGCTGTCGTGTTACGTTGCACTGCTCGTATTCGACTCTCTAGCCAGTTAGTTGGAACGCATCGGTATCTTGGCACAACCATCCAAATATACTATTCCATCCGACTACGCTATCGTGTTCTTCCTTGGTCTCGTATTCGTGGGTATATATAATTAGTGATTGGTCTTTGCGTCTGTCAAGTTCGCACCAGGACAAATCCTAAAGTAACTTGGCCGTTGATAAAACTTCGACACCTTTTCTTTTGTCATGGTGGACCATTGATTTCATGACTTTTCCGATGAAAACCATAGTTATATCCCTTCAGGATAAACTGTGGAATGATCAGCTGTGCTTCTTGAGCCTGCAACCGTTTTAAGGAGTAACAAGTAGCTTCTGCTAGCACTTACGTAATGAACCTTTAACTCTTCTTAGTGGTGGTTGGGTTAGTAGCCGTTACCCTCTTCTTCTATATATTTGGTGGTGACAGAGTGCCAGTTTTATGCTGGCCTAAATTTCGAGTCAACTGACAACACGAGGGCTGTGAATCTGTAGCTGGTCATAACATAAATACGTCTGATTAAAGGTGCAGGAATCTGGGTAAAGCTCTTGGAATGACCGTGGTTGCCATTACATGTTGTGTGGGAAACAGAGAAATCGAAGTCCCTAATAGTCTGGATGATATGAGCTACTTGATACTTCCATTATTATTTGCAGGATATTATGAGCCTAAGTCCATTTGAGGGCTAAATATACGAAATTCCTGTGAGCTGACTGTTGCAGACAACTACAGCTGCATTAAGATTTGGCAATTAATCATCTACATCTGGTGACGCAGGGTCATATCATTAGGGAGAAAATGTTTCACATGTCATTAAAGGTCAGTGCTTGGTGAATTTATGTTTAGGACCTTATATCCGATTGGGTGAGTTTTGGTCATATCCTGATATGGCTCAATATCCATGAAACACCTCACCGTTTAAATTTTGTTTCTTCAATGTCCTTACTGATACTAGTCCGAATTTCAATTTTTCTGATACTTCTTGATTCACTACGCAAAAGACAAACACATGCATACAAAAACACCAGTCTCCTGGAGTTATTGAGCATTTCGTAAGATGAGACCTATCTCTTACGTCAACCTAAACATAGTTACTGCTCCATTCCGCCACACGTTTATCTCATCTAGATTCGTCGCCATACAACCCCTACTCCAATTAGGCGCTGGAAATAGCACATTACGGGTGAGTTAAGAAACTGAAATTTTCTGGCCTCTTCCCGTTGGGGTAGTAGAAAGGTGCAAACTGTTATCATTGTTTTTTGAAAATTTTTACGGGGAACTTATCACCTGTTTCAGAACATGTCGGCAGTCTATCCTGCGGTAGCAACCTGCAGGCTTTATCATCTCCGCACTGCTCAGTCCCTCAAATCGCTGGGACCAGGTTTCCGTGTGAAACGTTGGAACTATTTGGTCACACACTCTCTGTGACCAACGCAAACACAAGCCACATCTAGACGTCAAACTTTTGCTCAGCGCCCAATACTACACGGTCAAATCTGGATCAAAGTTTGTATAAATATCCAAATAAGCTTACATGGTGTGGAAAACAGTGAGTGTGTAGGTGATAAGGGTTCGGAGGTTCATCCATTCGTCGAAAATCTGGGCTCATTCGTGTTTGCCTTATGCAAGCGCTTCTAGTCTAGTTACTAATTTCTTAATCGCTTTCCATACTAATTGGGAATTCTCCAATTCTTGACTTGTAGTGGACTTCGGAAGGGTTGAAGCGAAATATTTTCTCCCACCCATCCCCGGTCATTAAGAAACATTGTTCGAGGAGACGAAAAGTTAACAGAAATAATCTGAGCAGGCAGTCTATAAATAACGAAGAAATTAGAGTTAATAGGGCGTTGTGTTATTTCGTCTGTTCCTGTCGAAATTCAATCTCTCCAACATGACTTGAGGGATCAAGTGATGTGGCGAAAATAAAACTTAAGGGATACTGGCGTTTGGAAACGCGATGAAGTTTTCTAAAAGCTTACAAAAACTACCCACCAAAGCGAGATCCATGCAGAGGCAGAAAAAAGAAAAACACAGAAGAAACAAGCCACTGTATTTTTCATGTAACCGACAAACAAAATGCAACCTTGTGTCCGCAGGAAAGCAAAGCAGTTGAGACAAACAAAATCAAGTACTAAATATGTTAAAGGCAAGGTAAAACGTAGAAAATTGTATGAGGAAACACTTGTCTCACTTTGTGGATTCACAATAAAAAGCATTTGTACGGCCCTGACTCTAACTCGCAACTCCTGGTTGATATCTACAAATGTTCTCATCTTTGCGCATGGCTTCCGTTCCTATTAGGACTTGATGAAGAAAATTCACCAGTAGTTGGTAGTCAAAACTTATTGACATTCCCACCAACAAATGGGCTCAATACCTCTGACAAAATGCAACCGTACAGATTCTGAGAATAATGCTACCAAAAAAGATTCATTCACGGAAGGTATTCTCTGTGTATTGGTACACTATAGAATCCTCATGACACCCGCAGTCACATCTTTTAAACCAGATAGTTAACTCCTACCTCATATAGTAGTCAGGAAATTTATCCTCATGGAACCGACCTTCGTCTACAGTAGGATACTGGAGTAGGTACTCCCTATTTCATAGTTCATTATTTTTTATGTGATTATTGGAAGAAAGGAAGAGAAGCTACGGGATTAAACGTGTTGTTGAAGTTCAAACTTCAAGTTTTTGAAATTAGTGACAATAGGAATGTTGTGATGCATTAGTTTTGTATAAAACCTTGTAATTGATCTGAACATTTTAGCGTGTCATTCCCATATCATTTGTACGGTATGACAAATAGTCCATTTTCTGCCCCCATTGAAATGTAAATCGCTAATTGGTTAATCTCTACTCATACTATGCAAATGCCTCAAATCGAGGACAAGGCCATGTTTCATATGTATACTTATTCACGTGTTTTGGATTGATCCATTATTGTGTTCTCGGAGTAATACACTCTTCCATCTGCCAGCCTCGGTCTTCTCTCTATTCGTCCCGAGGTTGCATTCAGTGTCTCTTGCGTACCAAGTTAGCTGTCGGCTAAGCGTGCGTATTATATTCGTTCCGGAAATTACAAGACCACGTAACATGTTATATCTATACCATGAAGACCTCAAGTTCCTTCTGATACTTTGGCAGGTTAATGAGCTGCCATTTAGAAAATTTAACATTTATTTGGTTAAACCCTGTAGTACTTTATTGCCAAGAGGATGCAATAAATACACACTATCGGGATAAATTTGAAATTCTACAGCTCAACTAGTAACCAATAACAGGTGAACTACTGATTCATCGTTTTTTCCTACATTTGAATTAGCTACTATAGGCTGTTGCCCTCAGTGTTCTCCCGGATATTTCAGTTTTCCGATATCCACAGGGTTTAGGTTTGTGAAGGTGTGAACATATTTTTCAGTGTCTTGTTTCTCGCTACATATCCAACCGGCTGTTTCATAATTGCCTATTACGAAAAGTGGTATATTCAGAATGTCCTCGCTGTTTGTAATCACAGTGCTTAGCCTGTTTGTGCATTGTTGCTCTTCACGAAGGAATTAAAAATTACCTACCGGTTAAGTTTTGTCTTGGTCAATTCTAGATGAGCGTGTGACTTTCTCTGGGGAAAGAATTTGAGAAAACTTCGTTTAACACTGAATTTCTATCATGGGAAGTAAGGTTAGTCTGGACCCCTGTTGAGTCTATTCAAACGGCTGGCGACATTCTTTTGGTTTTCGTAAACTAAACACCAACATTTGAAATGATTTTGGTAGCATATTGTCTGAGAAGGTTGAAATAAAGCAGTGGTTACACGTGTAAGATATTCTACTAACAATGTTCATAAATAATTGAGGCAATAAATGTTATTTATTCAAGAGCTTGGTGGTCAACAAATAACAACATAGAGAAGTTTGGTACTTGAGTCAAAACTGCAGGGAGAAAAATGATCTCATTGATGCATATTCCGTGATCTCTTGATGAGTCCAGTGCAGTTAGTGATACCACACTACCTTCGTTAATACTAGCAGTGTTCAGATGACCCTTATTCAAGATTATAAAAGACGGAAAAAAGTTTCAGTTTCTCTCTCTATTGTTAAGTCTAACAGTGTTTAATTTTGTCTCATCATCGGCATATTTAGTGGCTTTTGCTCTATTGAACAGTGGACTGTGGAGCGACTCCCTCGTTTTTAAACATCCCAGGTGTTATCGCTGGAAAACTGTTGGTGAGTTAGGTGCCTTGTTAGGTTTTCAGTTTTTTTTTATTGGTTTTGGCGGCTCGATAAATTTAGAGAACAGTCTTGTAATTTAATACATTTCAATCATCTGTGACTAGGACTTAAGTCCATATCATAATACGCATTACCCTAAACAGCATTTTCACGTGTCCAAACGTCGAACTAGCGTCGAAACAAAGTGAAACTTGTCGCTTTGCATTCACATCATGCTTCCAGTCTAATCTCGTGTATTGCCTACACAGTATGCATGGTGTGGGAGGTAATAGGCAATGTCGGAAGCTCAAGACACCTAATGACTACATTTTATGGGTGTTCAAATTGTGGTTTTTTGGCACCGAATATGAACTAATTCATCTAAAACGGTCTACTGCAACAAGTAGCTAGCCATAGGTTCATGAATTCATGAACCCTAAGGTAACTACGTATAAGTCGTCAAAATTTTGCTCGAGCAGTACGTTAACAGCTGAGATATTCACAAATCTCGATTTGCTGGACCTGTCTGACCCCCGTAATGTGTCTGTAATATGAATCCAGATGGTGTACGTCTTTTGGGGCTGTAAATGGGAAGGCATTTCTAATGTATTGCTCAGCTATGTTTGATCAGGATTTATAGTCACAGACTAATTATGTTATTAAACACTGCAAAAGCAGCTCAAGATGGGCTTAGCCGGTTGTGCGAAATTTCTCGTTTACTTTATTTGAGTAGTGAGCATTGTTGCAGATTAGGGTGGGAAAACACTTGAACATCTCTAACCGGAGTAAATATTAATTGTCTTAATTTGTTTGTTTAGGAACTGAATAATCTCATATAAGCTTGCTGTGTGTCTTTTCATGAAGTCACGATAATGCATAAATACACCCTGTTCATTTGTCTCTAATGCATTTTTATTACAGCAGTAGTTAAGCTTTACGAAGAAACTTCTGAATGAGCTTCCTGAAGCAAATTGTCGAAGATACTAGTACCCTAAAGTCAATACTAAATGGTCTGTCTCGAGTTTATGAAAATGATATGCGTTTGGCTTTGGCAAAGGACTTCTGTAATGAGGTGAGTATTTTTGCCGTTTTATCCTATTTGTCATTGATATTGTCATTGACGCTGTTGTCCATAATTCTCGTATCATCGTTCATGTGCAACAGAATCATTGGATAAGTAGTTCTAGGGTTTGATGTCTAGGACTAGATAAGGAGGGTAAACCAGACTGTGAAACTTCACTGACTTGGCCTGAACACATACTGCATTTACCTCGACTCACGTGTTAGACGAAGTAGAACTGTGCTGGGGAAAATATGAGGATGATCAGACCAAGACGTTGCACCAGCTGAAATTGGTGAGTTTGTCTGATCCTTGTGGAGTGAAGTACGCTGCCTCACTTGGGGTGGGGGTACCTCAGAGTGAGAGGAACCAGCGTTTAAGGAGGTTTAAACCACAGTGGCGCAGATATATGCATTCGTCATACTCGCTGCCTCAAACATTTTCAGCTGCCTACATCAATTTGTTCTCTTTCCCTACATGTATATTTGCGTTAATAAATAAAGTTGTCTATCCCTTTGGCATACATTTATGAAGCAACACAATTTAAGCAGGTTTCAATTATTGCTAGGTTTCAAGTTAGTTTATCTTTTTTTTGTCCATTCATTCAGTCACTTGTTCTTGAAAAAAAGTTTGTAGGTTCTTGCTGACGATAAAGTTGCATTTAAGAGAATTGTTGCGATAAAGAATAGGGTGATATGAATATGAGTCTGGTGAAAATAACACGTTTAATATTCAGTGGGATTTTTTTATATTGGCGTACATTAGCCAAAACAATCGCAATAGGCTTCTTATCTGTCCCTGACTGCATGGGTAGATACCAGCTTCACAAGTCGTTTAACCACAGCCTAGAGATATACGCCTCCGTTTAAGGGAAAAATTACATGTCTTAGAGCGTTTTGTGGAACTAAATCCCAACACTATAAATAAGGCTGCTATGAGGACAATCAACATTTTTGTTCACTATTGAGCAGACAGACCAGGTCAACATAAGATCTGGCATAATTGCGTGATTTTCGGATCTACCGCGCGTCATATCAGTAGATCAAGCAAGAAAGTACTTCAGTGGAAGGTAAAAAAATAGAAAAGAGGGGAGCCAAAAGCAGTAGGAAATGGTGTTATGGTTACATGGAGTAATGATATAAGCTCAGTACGGTGATTAAGATTAGGATAATGTGTGGATTCCGAATCATGTAACCTAAACTCCAACCACTGGTTTCTCTTGTAACGCGGACTGTAACAAATTCTGTTTCCCTCCAGACTGCTAAAGTCAACGGCTTCATACACAGACGCCTCCTAACATTTTGCAGCTTTAACCTGTTCAAGTTAGCATTGAGAAACGGGGTACGTGGTGACTGGACATGCATAAAATGTCTCATTCGCCTCAATCAATGAAGGTTCCCAACCCCATTGAGTGACATTCCTCTTCTCTCTAAAACTACACCTGACTGCATCACTGACGTGTTGATACCATGACATATGGCCTGTGCTATGAAGACAGTGATTGTCAAATACCTGCAGCGTCTTCATGTTCTTTACATTTGATGGCCATGTTTCACATCCAAGACAGCGAACTCCGGCTAGAAACACTTTACCCTTAATAGACGATCGGATATCACAACGGTGCCATGGATGACGTAAGTTAACAAAAGTGAAGCAAATCCTTTATATCTGCAGATTTTGTCGTTAGCTAGCCCACTAAGGCTGATCTGACTTCCTGGATAAATGAAGTAATGAACGCGCCCAGCCACTTCACTCCCCGTTGTTTGACACAGCGAAGCAACAAATTACATTTGGGTGGTAAGGAACCCATCCTAAACATTCTCAAATCGACACTCAAGGTATGCAAAAGACTGTCTTTTCAGAGTCTTTGCCTAACACATCAACTCCGTAATTTTGATCTACCAAGGTATTTTTTGTGATTAGTTCCTGTGAAGCCAACTAACATTTGAGAGACCTCCATAAGCACATCCTATGATAAGCTTAAATGAGAACGAGAGGGGTGAAAATAACTGACAAACACCACTGGAGGCACGCAACTCATTTGACCACTCACCATAAGCTGTAACACTTATAGATATTCGAGTGCAGTGCTTTCAACAATGATGTACTCACTCAGCACCCGTTTCAGTAAGAGACAGTCATAAGTACTCTCGATCAACAAAGTTTGATGCCTCCTTCAGGTCGAGAAATATAACCAGAGTGGAAAGTTGGTAAATGCTCCTATGCTCAAGAACCCGGTGGATAATAAGTACCTAGTCAGTTAACCTCTGGCTAGATCCGGGGTCTAGTGGTTGTTGAACCTAGGAACTTGGGCACTATGTTCGCCAAGATGTTCTCTCTCAAGAGAGGGATTCTCCCCGTTCATGAAGACTGGGACAATCAGCGGTTAAGACCAGTCAGATGTCATATCTAACTTTCACAAACTAGTCAACACTTTAATTAATCTGACAAATAATCTACCACTTTTAAAATACCTCTGGCTTTGGTCTCTTTCGCCCTATTGCATTTCCCGTTACAGTTTACCTACAGGTTTCTCGATTTCGGCAATTACTTGAAACCCTACCTTACGTTTCATTTCAGATCAGACTGGATAACCAGCAGGAACTGGTTGATCCAGTCGTCCTCCCCGCGAGTGAGCCACATAACCACCCTCCTCCGCTGTAGTCTTCCTACCCCCTGACCTTTTTGCCTCAGCTTCCTTAATAAGTCAATAATTGTCTACTGTTTCTTACCGCCGAGTCTTCTCCATCTCTCTGACCTTTCTGGCTCACCACTGTGGTCACTGAGTAGACTTGTAGGTCTTACATTTAAGTTGCTTAAGCTCATTGTGATAGGAGTCTGCAGGGATATGTTCGCATGTATCCACATGTTAAGAAGATGCTGGGATCCACTGTCTTTATTCAACCACTCTTTGAGGGGCGGTCACAGTTCTCAGCACTGTTTTTACAACAAGTCGGGGAAGCTGCCGGGCGTCTCCTGGATAGGTGCTGTTATTCTAATCCAACAACCCTAGCCAGTTTCTCACTGAAATAAGCCTTAGTATTCTCATTACTGAGTTACAAACTTGTTGCTATATTTTATCTACGTCCATCTGGTCGTAAACACGCTCTCGACCTAAAGCGTGGTTGCCGCCTAACACGCGCTTCAAAAGGATTTGCAATCTTCCACCAGTCTCCCCTGACGATGACGTATGCATGTAATCAAACTGTGCCTCCCCTCCACCCGGAGTTGAGCTGGAGGAATCCCACGCCAGACAATATTTTTCTACATCAAGATTTCGTGCTTATAAGGAAAAAATGGTTTTCGGAGAGCAGTTGTTGCAAGCGATCACCATTGTCTGTTCTTCCCATCGGGGTTCCGTAGGTCCCGCCTAATTTTCTTTCTGCCTGACTAGGCCTATCTGTATACACATTGAGATCACCTGAAACATCTACCACTTTTGAACGCTTGGCTTTCGGTAGGAGGCAGGACAGCTTATGGTGAAACTGATCCTTCAATTCTTCCGAACCGTAGTTGGCGGGTGCATAAGATTTCGAATAGACAGTGGCGAGTTTCACCATTCTTTTTCGTGTCCTCAGTGTGCCATTTGGCCGAACGCTTTATAGGCGACTATCGATGGAGATCTGGTTGGGTAGTAAACTTTCTGCCTTGATACTTAGTGCTATTCTTACACCTGCAAAACCTCGAAAACTAGCCATGTTAGTCTCCAGAGATTCGAATAATGAATCTTGAGGTTTCACTTAGTTGACCGGATGAAGTTAGGTGAGTTACCACACCTGGTTCCTGCATGCATGCCTCAAACGCAGTACACGTCTGGGTTGTTAGGATTTCAGTTAGCGAAGCTTGTTGTCTGTAACGAGGTGCGTGGACATAGCCCCAATGGGTGGTTTGAAGGGAGGCTCTTGGAGACAGATGATGCTGTTCTGAGGGTTCAGGTCGTTGTCAGGGCCAGCAGAGCTGGAAAAAGCTGGTGGTAATGTAAGACTATTTGCCGAAAGAAATGAAAGAAAAGTAGGAGGTGAGGAATAGGCCGATGGCCAGTAATCTGAGGGAACTTGAGGTACGACAGGGTTGCGAAAAAGGGTCGACGACTTGCGGTTTATTGCACCGTGGAAGGGTGGTTCTTGACGCACCTAGAAAAGAGAGGTTAGTGTATGACTGTAGAGTTCAAGGGATGTCTATATGATGCCGGTCATACGGTCTTTTTAGAATTTTGAGGTTTAATTTTACTTTTCTCAAATCCGACTGAGCCCCCACATCGCCAGCATCAGAGTAGTTTGGAGTGTGCTATTTTCAGAACCAGCAATTTTCACGCCCTTCCCACATAGAAGGCAGCATCAGCTGACCGTCGAAGAGAGATACATTATTGTTATACCGGCGTCTAGCCAGCAATATAACTCCCTCCTCGGACCTCCGATCGTAGATTAGAAATCTGTCATCACTGACTGCTTTTTTTGTTGTCCAACAGACCTTTCTGGTGTAGTACGACGTCGACGGAACTAGATTTTCACCAGGATAGCTCGTTATGTCATTGTGATGTGCGAGTACGACCATCACGGGAAAGCAGCAGTTATCTTTTGGGTTACTTATCGTCCTAGGTAAGTGTGACTTGGAAAGAAGACTAAAAATTCTTTTGTAGACCTGTGCCGGAATTTTATGTTTGGTTTCGCTTGATGTATCAAATAAAGACAGTGAGATGATATTACTACCCACTAAATTAATACTGGTCGGTACGTTTAATATATCTGATATCGAATCATATCCTTATACAATGCTAAAGTTGAACTCTTGCATTGAGCTTTTTGTTCATCTGCTTGTTGTTCACTAAGGAAAGGATAAGAGCGTCGGGACAACCAGTTGATACTGTCAAAGAGTTAATCTTTTGACTGATAACTATTTTCGAATGCATACAGATTTCTGGCTAAAAACTAGAAAAATATGAGCTCCTTACAAACGAAATAGGCTTGTGGTTTTTCGTATGCAGCAACTAGATCACATCTAGTTTTCCTGAAGCTAGATCACAACATTAGATGGATAACAGTACACAGAAGAAAATTTTGACATGCTGGCCATCATTTTCATAAGTTTTAATTTTTTTTAAGGTCTCAACCCTGTAAACAAAGTTTATGAATATCTTGAGCGGACAAATGGCCCTGGGTTGTAGTTTCCCCATATATCACGGAGGATTTGTCTCAGCGGTAGTTGTTTCTCAGTGATCGTTTTTATTTTGTAGATTGGAGCCAACGATTGTGCTGGGATAGTTATTTTAATTGTTATGCCAAACAACATGCGTAATAGCAACTTCAGCATGGCTTTTTAATATTGGCCATTCATCTGGACTTTTAACCAATCAAATCCACCTAGCATGTATCTGTCTCTGTTTTCATGCGTGTTTCAAAGCTATTGGGATGGGAGAGACTCGATTTGGCTTGTAGAGTTCATGAGTGGCTGACTTAATTCGGAGGACTGACCTAGGACAGTGCGTTACGTGATATCATCTCACCAATGGTGGGGGAGAATTATCATTTTTCCGAATAACTGATAACGAGATCACAGTATCTGAATTGGAAGTTTTCACTAAGTTTTAAATATTCTTTGGAAACAGTTTTGGTTTCTGAAATGTAGACTTGCTAACATGCTGAGTTGTGCACGTTAGTTAACTAAAATTTTACTTCGATATGTTATAATATTGTGGTATGTGCAGTATGCTTACGTTTTTCGCCGAGAAGGAATCGACACCCGTATTATTATGTTGATACTTGCAATTCTCCGCTGTTGTGTTGGATGAAATTGGTTGACCTCTGTTTGCATATGGGCTCCTGTGAGGATACCTCGATATTCCCTAATTACATATTGTTGCAGTTGGCTCCGTTGTGTCGAGTGGTGAGATCCAGGATACGCGTGTTGTCCTATTTGAGACTCGTCAGTTGGATGTGCCTACCTCTGGTGAGGGATGTTCACACTGCGAGTCAGACCCCAGTATCCATCGCTTCAAATCCCAAAGCGTTATCCACTTGGTTACTGTGGCCTGAGAGCTACCTCTTGTATTGCTCTTCCTTTTCGAGGGGATTTGAGGTCACCTTAATTCCCCATAGGTATCGTTTCTGTAAAGCGCTCTGGTACTCCATAGCAAATTAAAATCCCATACTGAACAGTCGTTGATATTTTCAGCAGAATGAAATGACTTTATTTTTTGGACCTATTTAGTTGCCTGCAACCTGCGATATCTAAACTACATAAAGCACTCATTTAGTTGTTAATTTGTTGGTGAAGCAGTATGCGGGGAATACCAATGAGCTTCCTCATATAATTAATTTTCTCTAGTGATGGCAAGGTGGTCTTAAACATTGAGACATGCTTTCCACACTTCATTTTTGTACTTCCTAACTCCAAAAAATAGCAAGTTTTCTCCGGATTTGCATTGGACATTAAATCGCTTTTGTTGCTCATATCGCATATTGATTCAGTGAACGAAAATTCAATAATCAGCTATTTTCACTCAACCCTGACAAAAAACATTTGAATGAAGTTACCAACTGTCTTTGTATTTGCAACTTCGTTACTGTGGGATGAGACAGAATGCACTGTATCTTTCTTTAAAGACGAACTTAAGTGAAAAAACCAGTCACTAAGTTATTTTTCGTTATTTCTGCAACAGAAGTGCTGTTTATTATTTTATTATTTGTCCCTTGGGTTCCTAGTGGAACATAAGACTTCGTAGCAGGTCTCCATTTCGCTCTGTTCTCTACATTCTTTTCAACTTGGTTCCACCACTGCCCACACTTTCATTTGTTCCTCATATGATCTCCATGTCACCCTCACCTGAGACGCCCAACTCGTCGTTTCCCTTTTGGATTCCACTCGAGCGACTAGCCTGACGCTTGGTGTCCCCAAATGGTCTTCTCAGTATATGGCCAATCCATCTCCACTTTCTTCTGCATATTTTTTGGACAATGAGTTGGTTGGTTGGTTGCCAGGCAGAGTGAGTTCCTTGTTGCTTATTCTTATTATTCTGGCAATCCATCTGATCTTCAGTGCTAGTACCGAGTGAGTGAGCGTGGGCGGCAGCTGTTGATAAATGTGTGTAGTTTGTTGGAAATGCTTTTCGTGACGCGCCAAGTTTCTGAACCATGCAGCAGCACTGACTTGACGTTGGTGTTCAAAATCCGTACGTTTTTCGTGCTTTATGCTGAGCATAGTAGATCTCCATACTGATTTTAGATTAGTGAAAGCCTGTCCTGTTTTTCCGATCTTGATTTTGACATCCTCGTCTGTGCCTGTGCCACCTGTAGTTGAAACGATACTGTTTTGCCTAGGTAGGTGAAAGAAACAACTTCGTTTAGATTCCTCCCGTTGATGGTGATTGGTGCTTGTTGTTGTTGTTTGAGTATCTTCATCACCCCTGTCTTCTCTACGTTCACTTGAAGGAAGCCCCATCTTCTCTGCCTCTTCTACCAACTTGTTAGTTTTTGCCTGTAGATCTTCGAGCTTGTGCAACACTAGACATAAATCATTATTGACGACGAAATCCAAATATTCCAGGGTCAAGTGCTGTTTGGAGAGCTAAAAAACCTTTTCTAGTTGTTCAAAACCATACTAACACTTTAAAGCGAAGGATTAAGATTCTAGAAGCACAGGTTTTGATTTTTTCTGATTTCAGTCGCGTAAGTGTGAAAGGAAAGTTATGACTGGTGCTTGAAGATAGTTTGATGTCTAACTTGTTGGTGTATAGGACTCAATATTTTGCAGTGATTTGAACTTATATCAGTCAATGTTTCAGTCCAAGAGGTTATCACTAGGTGAATCAACACTAAAGATCAGGTAGGATTGGATAAACTATTCTCTAGTAAAGTGGTTTTGAGTTTCACCTGCTGTGTGCTATCTGACTACTCAAACTTTCGCAAACAGAACACCTTTTGTGCTCACTGGTAAATTAAAAGTCGAGTGTCAAATTAAATGAGTACCCTACCGTGACGTCGTCGCATTGATGACGATATCTAGTAGTACATTGTGAAGTCTGCTGAACAAAGCTCCAGCCTTAGAAAACGACTCACTGAAAGCCGCAATTCTGATTATATATATATATATATATATATATATATATATATATATATATATATATATATATATATATATATATATATCACCGTAATACTTCGCCGCACTATCACTAAACGCCCTGGTTTTTATACGTTGAAAATTTCACTCTTTCTGTACCTTCTATGTAAAAACGTTTTTCTGTTTATCTGAATTTTTTAGTTTGCTCTGTTCCAGTATGAATATCAAGCTATCCGTAGACAGTTTGAACTGGGAGTGATAAGCGTCTTAGCCTCTAACAATGTGCATCCGAATTCATACGATGAAATTAGTGTATGGGTGCAACAGCTAGATGATTTTGCCAATACGTTTCAGGTAAGAAAAAGAACAAAGCTGTTTTTTTGATATGTCGGGAGAATTTTCTTATTGTCGCACAAATGATTAAATTGTCCAGCAATAACTATGTATAAGTTTGTGAACTAGACAACGAACCACCCCCCCCCCCCCTGGTTGCCTAGTTCTCGGTAGGTGTGGTGCTTTGGTTAGAAATCGAGGGTCCATACTAACAGACCATAGGTTCAATATTATTAGCGAAGTTGATATCGAAAGTGGTTAAATAGTCGAAAATCGGATAGCATTCTTCGAGACATGTTTGCTTACCCTTGTTGGGACTACTCAACCAGTAAATATCTTACATGAATCATCTGAGAATCTAAGTACCCGGATTATTTTTCTTTTAGTAGCACAAGCTCAACAGAAAAGCAGTAACATGAAGTGTAGCATATCATGGTGTAGTTAAAACATGATTTTGGGGGTTGTTGACGACACTCAAACAGTGTAGCAACAGTGTAACAAAAACCACATACTATTTAAACTGTCTGTGTGCATCGAGCCAAATGTCAGCTTTTTCTCTTCCACTTTTGGAACGCCCTCTCTATTTGGAGGTATGTTATAACGACTTCCTTGGCAGAAGGCAATAAGCATATAACTGAGAGAGGTATTTAAGGGGAAGAGGGGGACTTGGTCATCACAGCGTGTTTAGGAGAGATTGTGATTGCATATGTCTTACATTTCTAATTTCACAGGATTGGTAACTATTATCCTCATTGTCAGTCTTTACTATGCACTATGATTTCATTTTTGAGTTGGTGGGTTGTTAGTTATCTGGTACCTATGTTATTAGTGATGAACTTGTCAATAATGACTTTGGATATCCCTTCCTCAGTTGTTTTCCTGAAATTGTATCATTTCTGTTCTCCATATGTATAAGACGAGACAGTTATCCTAATTCTTTCTTCCCAATTACAGGAACGCAACTGAGTGATCCATCAGTTTTCTATTTTGCTGTGCAACTCATCATTTCTGCTTGATAATTAGGTTTTTTTTAAAATGAGAGTTGAAATTTGATTCATCATCAAGTGTAAAACCTGTAAATGGGTGAAAGTCATTGAAGATTTTTAGATTTTCTGATCTGTTACGACTTATCATTCAAGTACTTTTTGTGAACCTGAAACTGGTCAACGAAGGGTTTTACATTGTTAGTTTCTAACTGAGCCGCATAACGGTTGGCAAATACGAGACCGTCAACTGAAGGCTTTCTACTGCTTTGCCACTATGTAAAGATTTCCATCCAATGAATATTTCTATAAAGTTCAGTTTTCATATGAAGATTAGTGCTATTGAAATGACTGAAAACTCAAAAGGAAGTGTGAAGGCCGTAATCGTATCAGATACATATAATTTTGTTGATTTTTCTTACTGTGCGCAATCCTAGTGGAACCTATTAGAATCAATTTTACAGTTGATTCTGAATAAACTTAATCACTATTATCTCACAACAACTCAGATGCTGTCACGAGTGAACTCAAGGATTCTTGTATAATATTTTTTACAATTGGATTATGAACTGCTATTCGCACTTCACACTAACTAGGACTTGTTGATTGAGATTCATGTAAAGGAAACAAACAATCTAATTGTGGCATTGTGCTTGGAAATTTTTTGGCGAGAACCCGCTATCTGTGACTAACTGACTTGCCTTCTTTGTTCACCTGTTAGCGCATGTAGCCTCAACAGTATTCCCTCTGTAGTTTCACTACATGTAGGTGATACCTTGTAAACATACATGATCGGAAACTTGTAGCTTGTCCCCCCCCTTATCATACAGATGTAAGGTAAGGGGATAACATGTAGCTGAAGGACTTATTCAACTATCAAGGTACTTCAGTATCTCATGTTACAATTGGTACTTTCTGGCTCTACTGTCAGTTGACTATTTTTCTGAGCATCTCATCCCCATTCACTTGGTAATCGACCTAAAACTGACCAGCTTTTTATAGCTACTCGTGAGTTTGTACCTTTTTCCAATGAATTGCCTTTATTCATATTCTCACTTCTGCTGATGAATGGGGCAGGGGGGCAGGTTATTACGTCGCAGACATTTGAACCCTGTCATGATAACCCATCTTGTGTGTAAAAATTACTTTCTTGTGCTGATTCGTTTGTTTTCTTTTTTTGATGTACAGAGTTTGAAGGATTCATTAAATACTCTGCAAAATATTCTTGATTCATCATGTCAATTTGTTTATCATCTGAATAATCATGGAAACTATTGGCCTTTTGGATGTGCCCAATACGACATGATACAGGCGTTTAATAACACCAAAAAACTGGCGGAATATCTGCATTTGGATCTCGATAGTTCCACTGAGAATGTGAGATTACTTTTCAGAGGAAAAAACTATTCTTATATTACCTTTGAAGATAATATATTAAATTTTCATTTTTGTCACTGAGGAAATTGGGCAGTCGACTAAGGGTCTAGTTAGTATGCTTACAAATTTGGGTAACGTCTTACTACTTTTGTTTTCAGCCTATGGAAATAGGATGGAGTAAGGTAAATAAATTAAGATAATACAAGATATGGGAAATATAGGTAGATAGATATGGTTAAGAGGAATAACACATTTTCACACCACCTTTGAAACTACCAAAGTAGGTTTTAAGGTAAGGACAAATTGTTTTGGAATACGCAAAGGGAGTTGTGGGTTGGTTGGACTTTCGTATAGCTAAGGGTTCCATGAACCTAAGTATACGGTCTTGATGGCTCCTATACAATAAATAGAAAGGAGTTTGAAGTAGATACGTATTTTTGGTAAATCCCTGTCATGCTTTAAAATTGCACTTACAAATTATTCAGCATAGTCAATCCTGTGACCTATCGAGGATGACATCTGTTCTGCCCCCCCCTGTATTTATCGGATTATTGGTATGTAGGTGTCTTTCTAGCCATTTAGGGACACATTTCACCAACTTCGACTTTATAGTTCGACTACTCCACCCAATGTATACATCATTGTACACGTATGTAGATTAGTATACACACCGGGATGTGACGTTATCATCTATGCGGTGGTGCTGTCTATTTTGAAGCACTGGCTTTGTCTTCTCAGTAATGTTGAGTTTGACTGCATAGTGTATGTCTTTTTAATAGTTGAAATAAGCCATCGTCTCGACATTATACTGTTTGATTCCCCCTTATATGGTAGCGTGATGTAAACATTCTTGTTCGGGACAGAATAGTGATTAGTTTGCGCTGTTGAGGCGTTCTTATTGAGTATCTCCACTAAGATACAGATACGTTTGGACCTTTTGAATAAGCATTTTACTAAATCTCGTTTGTACTGTATCAGAGAGAAACTATGAAGAATTTAGGTACTGTCCAGTTCATATAGTTTTTCTGGTCTGATCTTCTTACCGAACCATCTTCCCTTCTAGGTAATAATATGTCAAGAAAAGGAAGCTGATTATTATTTTCTACTTCACATGATAAATTGACGTGGCTTTGCGTGGTTTAGGTCTATCTAGGAAACTTTTCTCATCCTCATGTTTGTTGCATATAACTAAGATATCATCAATGTATCTCCTGTACGGAGTGACTGTTGATTAAATGCTCAACCAAGAGTTCTACATGTGACATATAGACATCAGATAACAATGGTCTTGAAGGACTGTCCTCAGCGACGCCATCAACTTGTTGGGGATATTCGCCTTCGGAATAAGGTGAACCTTATAGGTGCATTGTAGTAATAGCTGTTTCAAATATTTTGGAGGGATATGAAATGAAGGGATATTCAAGGATATGTAATCGCAAGGAATATCAACAGTCTTCAACCTATTCTGCTCATAACTCCACAGTTGGAGAAGGTAATCCTTACTGAATTCCTTTGTTTGTTGAATTTCTTAATGCATATTTGGCCAAGTAACTAGGTTGAAAGGAATATCTTAAAAGATTCTTACCTCTTCTGATACCAAACCTTAAGGGCTTAGGGAATAATATCTGATCAAACTTTAGCGCGAGTCTGATTCTACATACAGTTTTGTTATTATCAACAACTCTACATATTTTGGTTGCATTATATCAACTTGGCAAACTATATACAATTCATCAGAATTATTGACCTAATATATTTTTAACGCACATCCAACTACCTAAGTTCACCCACTTTTTGTTTTTAATGCATGTAGACAGAATTTTATCTATTAAAGGCAATGAGTAAAGTAAATAATAAATGCATCTACTCTGTGACACATATGCACGTAGGCATGCAGATATGAAAACATTAGTTCAAGTTAACTATTATGAGATAATCTCTATGTGCACATAATTGATTGCTCTTAGTCATAATAAACAATACTAAGTGGTAGGTTTCTTCCACATGAAGAGGGTACTTTCTGGATTGCTGAATATTACACAACCAACCATTTTAATGTTAGATGCTACAGTTATCAAATAGGCAAGAAAATCTATCTTACCTCGATTTCATGCTTTTTGATACTTATCATTAAGATGTGCTACTGCAACCTTGAAGAGATCGCCGTCTTTTCTGAGGTTTGAAACTGCCTTTCTCGACAGTAAAGTCAAAAACTTTGCCGTTTAGTTATCCAGATTACAAGAGTCCTTCCCTCCTATAAGAGTAAATTATAGGCATGATTTAGTCACAATAGGTGGTTGTGAGGTTAGGGTTGAAAAATCACTAAATCCTCACAAACCCCCCAAATTAAACTGATCTGGTGCACATTGGTGACCAGCTTCGAGAGGTAATTCTTGATGTTCCAATGAGAAGTCGTGACCAGTGGGGCAAACCTGGTTGCTGTGAGGACAAATACTCAACGATTACATTGGGTGGCTGTCGCGCTATGTCGTCAGCTGACAGAAGTTGGAAATACGGACTATTAGATCCCGACCCAGTGGCTCAACGGTAACGTGCTGGCCACGGGGCCCGAAGGTCGCGGGTCCGATCCCTGACGGGGTCATAGGTGCACGCTGCTGAAGGGTCCCATACTAGGACGGAGCAGCTGTCCAGTGCTCTCAGATCCCCAATGTTCCTCTAATTGATGTCAGTGCATGATGAATACCAACTTGAAAAGTGTTCATAAATAATGTCATAACCAACCTTTTGCTGTTTTTCTGCTTTGATATTCAGTCATGCTTAGTCTGACATGGACTGACAACCTAATTCTGAAATCGCTCTTTTTCCGCATGCATTTAACTCATAAATACACAGTTCATGATGTTAAGGTATTACGCAATCGAGTATTGACATTTTGTAAAGTGTTTTCAAAATCCTCCTCCTAAGCGCACTACAAGGCACTATGAATCCTGAACAACCGTTTCGTCGTGATTTGTCGCTCATAATTGCTCATTTTGAAGCACACTGGTAGTCTTAATTCAGTTGGCTTTAAAATGATAATTTGTGGAGGCAACGAGGTTGAGAGTAAGGATAAGTGTGTGCTAAAAACACTGAATGATAGTTGTGGCGTACGAAAACCGCTTTAATTTGTAGAGTGGATACCGATGAACTCCAAAGCTGTTTGCAAAACCAAAAGTATCGGGTCGTGTTTCAAGTGGTGTAGTAAGTGCACACTTTTACAGAGTCCCACTCTGTGGGACTTGATAAACCTGATCTTGTGCCGTTGGATTAGCGTCAGGTTGGCACCTAAAGTGACAGCTAAGCTCATTTCACTCTGAACTTCGGTATTTGATTATAAATCTAATGGTTCCCAACTCCACTTATCTTAGTACTGCTACTTCAGTTGACTTGTTATTCGATTTTGAAATGTGTCATAGTCCATCTGCTGCATTTTTGTTTGAAGTTCTACATTGTTGTCATATTGCCAAGTTCACCAATCCAAGAGCACTTCAAGATATTAAGACGACAATTGAATGACTTCTGATGACTAGACTATTATCTAGCAGACACGTTCTCATCTTTATTGGTAGAATTTGGTCACTATTATAGAATATGATCACAAGTAAATAAGCTACTAAAATCGAATAGGCAATGTTGTGTAAATATATTGGTTTGACCATGGACTGTAAATTGTGCTCTTAGCGTCATCCAATAATTAATACTCTGGAGACTGTACACTTTGTTACATAACCATGTTTTCGGTATGATCTTCAACTCAGCTTTCGTTTTTTGTAAAGTAAGTAATAATCATAGCATAGACGTAGAATGTCCAATCACAACATTTTTCATCAATAATAAAATTATTTCATTGTGTTTGTATTCAAAGCTTTTTCAAGATTGAAAGTACATTTCATTCCAGTGACTACTTTTGGTGGAGTTATTATTTATGTAAAATTAGACGGAAGTAAGCTATATATAGTTGGTCAGCCAAACGAGTTAACACGTCAAAACACGTTAGTTCAGAATTGATGGGAACGGAGGCAGAGGGATTTCCAGTTTGTAAGCTTCTCTTGATTTTTCATGAAGGTAAAATAATCCATTTCATCAAAAATGTTTACGTTGCACCTCTAATAGTAAGATAGATATCAAATGTTAGTTTAGCCTTTTTTGTGTTGTATGTTTTCCAGGAGGAATACGTAGAGTTCATGTGTATGTAAAAGCTTGTTAAACTACTCCACGTTTATGTTCATGAAAATCTTTTTTAAGTTCATATCAACTGAATAATTGTATGAGAGAATAATGAACAGTCTTATACTCTTTGAGACTCTCTGTGATTACTTGATAATGTTCTGAGATTTTTATGTTCAAAAGTTTAATTGTAGTGTTAACATAAGTCAAATTAAAGTTTTCTTTATATTTCCTAAATTTAACGTAAGGAGCATTTTTTTTGTTTCGTTTCATTTTAGACTCTTGATTTATCCACCACCAACTATTCTCATGATTCATTACTGAGAGAAGCGTTAAATCTAGAACAAAATTATAATTCGTACAGTCGATTCTACGTAAACAGTAAAGTAATGCATGGACACCAGTACACACAGAATCTACAGCACAATCTTTACAAAGAACAGTAAGTTAGTGCATATATAAGTAGGATTTTCTAGTGATTGTATGATCTGTACGTTGTAGTATGTGTTCACTTGACTTAAATTATCTTCCGCATACAGATGTTATGAGGATTTCATTAAATGACATTGTCAGTTGATTGAGTCGACCTCTTGTGTCTAATATATAACCCCTATGACTGGCGGACTATATTTTTTTCTGTTGGGATCTCTACTGCAATTCTCCATCAGTTAGCCTATGACATAAATGCTGACTATATTAACAGATCCTTTAGTTACTAAGCACTGTTAATGTTCTACGTTAGTTATGAATGAATTCTATTGGGTTGAGAAGAGCCTGATTATATGTGGCTGTTATACGACTACATCTGCATGCAGAGTTGGTAGGTAGCAGCAGATCGACGTTATGAAAGATACTGGCAGCATCCATTGCAGCTTCGGAATTCGCGATTTTTTGTTAGACATATTTAGATCGAAAAAAACTTCAGATGAACTCAGTGACCACGTGCATTTTCACACTATAGGTAATGAACCACATCTATTGTGTGAGAGCTAAGGATACTGCCTGGCTGCCCAGACTTTGGTAGGTTCAGTGGGGGGTTCTAACCTATGACCTATCAATTAGAAATTGAGTGCTTAGTTCAATAATTGACCACTTGATCCGTTGTAATCAAAAAGAGACGTACAGGTAGGTGTGACCATCATTCCTCAATGGTAAAAGATGATAAGAACTTACAAGTAATGAGGAAACTTGTGGAAATGTCTGCAAAGCACTTGAAAATAATTCCTTGAAGACGATTGATAGATACAACTGAAACAGATTCAGGTTTTTGTGATGAGCTATTGAGTCACGCCTACTGTATGACAGCTTAACATACCGTCTAGTTTTCCAGGTCGAAGTGGGGTCACATTTCAACCTGGAGTCAGTTAGTTAAAAGTTGGATGTTTTAGGTAGATAAGCCTTGTCACCACTGACATATTTATGCACAACATTTTCTTCATTGTAACAAAACTACCATTTTGCGTACAGTTAACGGGTTGGAATTCGATATACAACACTAAATGTACTAGTTTTTGTTGTATCTTCACTCCTCAGGTGATAGAGTGTTTCAGTGTAGTAAGAAGCACATCATAGTCCATCTGGCTGGAATTCAAGAATAAGATGCTAGCTGTTGAAGTACTGGAAAATCAATTTCCTCAAATCAGTTGCACAAATGAACGAAATAAAGAAGTGATAATTTCATGAATTGTATTACCATTGTATTTAGTTATCTGTAGCTTCCCTCAATCGAACTCTATGTTCGTAGAACATAGCGATTGAAAGCAGAGGCTTTATAAAGGCTCTATGTGTTTGACCCCCATTATCTGTGCGGCATCGGTGGCATGTGGTGAAAGCATCATATGAGCAATGGGGAGATTGAACAAGGTACTTTAGTTAGTGAAGCAAGTTAGGGGATTAGTTAGTTAACGGTTTTTCATCGACTGAGGTAGTTGGGTTGTTTTGCGTACACCACTGTCTGTCTAGACGCATCACTTTTAATGAAGTAGATCAAGGCCGCTAGACGTGAGCATGATCAGGCTAAGACGTTATACTAACCCTTGAAGTCTCATGGGTCGTGCTTCAGTAATGATCCCATTTCTCAATAAAACATTTTTATTACACTTGTAGCATCTAGGTGTCCTAAACCCGAGTTATAAACCGGATAAAGAAGCAGATAAAATGGTTTAGCATAATGCGGAATAGCTGAAAATGTTAGCACAATATAGAAACTTTGTAACATGTCTGTTGATTTTGGTTGTCAAACTTTTTCCCGTCATGCGAAGCACAGAAGGTCAGTACGCACTGGACTTATCAAAGTGTTAACTGGTGTATGTGGATCCGCCGTCATCTGCTATGACTGATTTCAGGGACTGATTCTCATACTCTTCAAGAAAAGAGATGAATCATGTAATAATCACAAGACTAGCATGGTATCTTAGGTCCTAGGTTCTGCAGCAACTAAGTGGTACAGTGAAGCTGGGGAACGGCAAACTCAAGAAAACCAGATGGCTTGTGGACCTAGTCATGGGTGTATTTACTGGATGTTCGACCTCTGTCAGACCTTAGGACACAGACGCACTTATTCGTGCCCGACACTAGCTGCATTTTTTGACCTGAAGGCGGTAGTCGACTCTGTCACTTCCAAGATCTTACGACAGTGTTCATCTCTGTCCGTTAAGCACACATAACTGCCAAAAGCTCTGTGTTCGGAAACCCATGGCCGTGCAGAGCCTACTGTGATGTGTCAGGTAAACTGCTTGCATCGGTTGATTTACGTCGGTGATTTCTAATACCTCTATCTCTATATAGCTTTTTGTCAGTGAAGCATTTATGAAGGTTCCTCTTTCTTCATCTAACTGAGCAGTGATTGTCCCTAGAACAGGAAGCTTCTCGTACAATACACAGATGACATGGTCATATTATATGCGGATGTTAACAAGATGCTGAATGTTCTGGAAAAGTTGAGTTAAAACATAGGAACAGGCTTTTCTTGCTAAATATATGCAAATGTTTGCTTTAGGACTAGTATTCGTTGATGTCTGTTCTAAAAATGGAGTAGGGTGGTTGGACACCTTATCTTTATAGCATTACTTACGTGCCCTATAACTATGACCTTAGTAATATGAGGAACAGATTAGAATTTTAGCTGGGAGATGAAAGCCAGTTGATGCGGTCACTAACCTTAATCGATCTAGATGGATTAGACAGGCGTTGTGTCGCACATGCTTATTCTTCTACCCCGATGATAATATTGGCTTTAGTAGAGTTAAGCTGGAAAAAGTCAACAATGGTTAGACTAAAAAAGGACATCAGTCCATGGAGTCTCTGACCGTCTGGGTCCTGCAGGTAACTAAAAGCCTCCAGCGGTGACCAATGACTGACGAACATAAGTGGTATAACTTAAATACTGATACCAGTTTTGCAAATGCATCCTAATCCGTTAACATATTTTGTTATTTGTTGTACTGACTCTTTCTGTCACGTGAATACTTCCTACGAATTTGGATTACATTTGCAGTCTATTTATTACATTCTTAATGCAGTGATGTGAAGGGTGGCAACCTGAGATGCAAACTAAACATGTCATTTCCCGTCATTAATTTTTCTAAATGTCATTATCCACTTTCATCCTAGTGTAGCTGTTTCCGTCTCTCTCCTCTTTGTGTGCTGTGCTATTGGGGAATATAGCCGTCTGAATTGATGCACTTTTGCGCAAGGTCCTATGCTGATATGTGGATGACCACCCAAGCTGGATATTACGTTTGAGTATCATCATACTAAGTCACACTGCTTCTCTACTAGATTTGCGTTAATTATGACTTTCTTGTATGATATTCGAAAGTTGGATAAACCCAATGCTGAACTGAGCAGTTTGACTTTGCATACTCAAAAATAACTACACCTTAGTATATATATACCCTACTGGGTTCTTATTTGCTCCATTTACGGCTGTGAACGAAACGACAAGTACAAAATCTCACACTATATGTAGCATTCAGTTACATTCTCGTCGTCATATTCTTTCAGTTTAATAATAGTAGAAACAAGACGAACAAGGGTAGAAGTATCAGTGTTACTATCTGAGGTAGCTGGACCTGTAACCCAGAGGTTACTAGTTCAAATCCTACCGCGACAAATTTTCATTTCACTTCCAGTAATCACTCAATATCATAGATGACAATACCTTAAAACTTCGGATTCCTAATCTCCTGGATGACAAAAGTAAACCCTGAAATGTTAGGCGTACAGTAAATCTGTTAGGTAGTGTTAGGTAGCTGTGTGTGAAGTTAGAATTAGTTTCAGAGTCAAAGTGACAATCAGTTGTATAAGTTAGCAAAGAGATAGTCGCGATCACGAAATGGAATTAAGATGTAACTAAGCAATCGTCAATAAGACAACGGAATGGACAAATTGACGATAGAAAATACCCAGCACTTGTTACCGCAGTAGGTTAAGTACTTTTTTGAAATGTAAACATCTGACTATCCTCTTTACCACAATAGTTTATGTGAAGTGGCGCAAAGTTGGACTGTGATTTTATGTAATTGATGATTATATTCTATTTATAGAAATATCCTTCTAATTTCATGCATACAACCTTCCAGCTCTTATTTTATTCCAACGTCACTCGTCTGGCGGTTCTTCGGTGTTCTAATAGATTATGGATTTGAACTCCTTAAGTATTCTACGGTAGTTTTTTCCCATTTTTTCCTACTATTATGTTCTGTAAGCAACCGACGAGGATTAGAAAAAAATGATGCTTTACGACGAAGTGTGTTGTTTCTAGTGTTCTGTTCACAGATGATTCTCAGGAATTGTAGTCGATTAAGTAACAAGTAAATATCAAAGTTCACTAAACGTTGCCATCGTACGCGTTCATTTTACATCATCGAATACAAAGGAACCTCAAGTTTTTGAATGTTGTTGCAGTGTTTCAGGTTACTATACACCTTGAGTTTCCCGTTCTTCTTAGTGGTTCAACTGTCGTTATTCCGTAGCATATTATATATGGAGTCATTTTCGAAAATAATTTTGTTGTTTGTAGCGTAAAATTATAGGTAGTCTAACTAATAACTTTGTTATTCGCACTCTCCAATAGAATGAAGTACGATATGAAAATCACTTGGAGTATACTATCTGATTGCTACTGGTTTTTATTAGGATCCAAATTAATCAGCTTCAATGCTTATTTAGCAAGGGCTAGCGAACAGTGGGTTGAAAGAAAAGATGTAAGTGAATTTTATGACGTTTCCTTCATTACATGTACATGTATCGTGATTATTTATAATCTAGTAGATATCTCAGTAATATATTTAATGAGACGGTGGTTGAATACGGTAGGAATTTAAAGCAGTAGTCTGCTAGTTGTGTTGTTTATTAGATGTTCTAATTGGGTGTACAGTGAGACCCCAGGCGTCGGTTTCACTTCATTCACCATCATGTAAACGACTGGCGTTTCTGCTCAGACAATTAACTCATCAGTCACCTTTTGAAGATTGCAACATTATCAGTCCTGTATGAGAAAGGAGACGCTTTGTCCTGATTCCATTATGTTCTACTACTGATTCACTTGGAATCTTTTAGTAACTGTATCCGCTTAACGGTGAGAAATTAAATCTCAAATATTCACTTCCCTTTGTGCAAAATAACAAATTTTTAGAAATCTTAGCTCTTTTTATGAATTTGGATAGTGCAATTAGAAGATGTAGACCATCTGGAAAGTGTAGTGTATTTGCGTTATACATCTTGAACAATTTGATGACACATTTACTAGTTAAGGCAGTTTATATGAAAACTGGACCGTGGGCTAAGGATAAATAAGACATAAAGGAATTTAATAAGTAGGAGGATAATGAATGAAAATGATAACATTTGGAGACAGCTTTGGTAATACGATAAAATAAGCATTACCGGGGTAGGTTCAGCGTAATAACAAACTGTTTTTGAACAAAAAACGAGACATAAATTTGTGTATGGTTATCGCTTCAACAAACCTAAGTATGCACCACTGACAGTTTCTAGACAAAATTGTAAGGGCTATTTTATCATCAATCCTATGACCTTTATCAATGATACGTTTTGAAATGATGGTTGTCTGTCACATTTGTTTGTCGATGTTTGAGAATCTAGCTGCTTTTGTAGCCGTTTTGGTACATGTTATCCGCTACCCTTAAGTGCATATCTCGACTATTCCTCCCTATGTATGTAAATTGATAAACGCAGTGGGATGTGACACAATCGTTTATACAGCGTTGAGGTCTATGTTGCAACGTGTTTGGTCTTCTCAACTACGATAAACCTAGCTGCATAGTATGTTTCACTAATTGTAGGCCTTAGCTTTCGTTTTAGAATTACACTGTAAGATATAGATATCTCCTCTGTATGGTAACACGATATAAACGCATTTCACCGGAAAAGAATACAGACTTCGTTTCAATGCTGGCTGACTTTTGCAACTGTTTATAAACTTCAATGGTTATCCATTGTCCACTAGTGTTTTCGTTAGTATTTTGATGGCAACATCCATTGAGTCCATAAGCCATAAATTTATTTACATCAACGACAAAGATGATGTCCGTTCTTAGTGATAAAAGTGAACTCATAGCTGATGCTCAATTAGATGACGTTAAGAAATTAGAAAGCAAAGATACATCTAACCTAATAACACTCGTGCTTATGAGTATTATCAACAGGGGAGAATTCACTTCCTTCAAACCTATGGGGCTTGAGTTACCTAGTCATTAGACTTCACTGAAAACATAAGACGTGACTGCTACATTGATTACCATCTGTCTACATGTTTCTGCAAAGCAGCCAGTCTAATACTTAGCTCGCCTTTCTGTTTGGGATTTGACGAGGAAATCATAAAGAGTCAAGCACTAGACTTTAATCGACTACTCCTACTACATTTTTTTTCTGTATGTAGTATTGCTCGATGGACTAAGTGCTGTACTTTGTCTTTCAATCTATGAGCCACGGGGTCCTAGCTACTTTGACTTACACAACTAAGCGGTATTGTAATCCCCTATAGTCAAGTGCGCAGACCTGTGCTGGATGTCAGAATTACGCGGTTACTACCATTATTATCGCTGCGTGCTACATTTCTTGGTGCCCATGATATATTGAGGTGGTATACAAAATGAATAAATGAAGGTAGTATTCTTCATAGCAACACATTTGTAGTCTAAGCGAAAACTTTAGTAATACACTTCTGATCGTACTGATATTCGGGAATCGATACGGTTGTGCTAAACATTCCAACTGTGAAGAATAGCATTTCTCTTATGGAAACACTGGATGACCTTGTTCCTTACTAGCTATGCTGATAACAAAGTGTATCCAGGGTGACCGGGTTTTTACTTTGTAGATAACCTGTAATGATATTGTATGGTACTTTATCGTGCCATGACGGAATAAAAACGGGGCGGTGCAAAACACAGTTCATCATTAGGTATTGTATGCCTATTAATATGTCTACGAGTTCTCTCTTTCAGAGACTGTACCTTCAAGTCCACTAAACGGGTTATAGCGATACTGCATGCTATGAATAATTCTAATGACTAAGTGATTATGTTGGTTATCGTTCGACAATGTCTTTGACTCTACTCTGCTACTGATTGGTACAGGTTCGATGAATCTGATTTTGCTACAATTATCGTTTATCATTTAAAAACAGTTTGGACTTTGATTTTGTTTTGTTTGCAATTTTGTTACTTCGAGCTTTGGGGTTTCACTCTGATTGTTGTATCTGTTGGTAGAATGTATTAAATAAGGTTCATTTAAATGCAGTAGTTAGTAACAGTCTATAGTATTCTCATGGACTGGAGTTTTATTAACTGGTGAGAATAAAGACCTACCGAATACTGAAATGAATAAATAAATCCCCACAAACCTTAAGTAAATAAGTTGCATAATATAATATGCAGTACAGTACAGTTCAACAGTCAAAAATCTGACTGGGAAGGTTAAAAAGATTGTCGTGAACCGAAAAGATGAAATGAGGTAGTAAAGATCTTCCGAGAAATCACTTTCCGGAGGGTAAAATCTTTACACAGTTTAAGTTCACTGTAAATATGATAACCGAATAAACGCTTGTATGCATAATCTAGGCTTTAATTTAAAATGTGAATCTCTATGGCTTTTGCAGTTTGGAAAAGCTTCATTTAAAAAGCTTTAATCAGATTACTACATGTTTTGAAGCAGAAGACTGCAGAGGTTTTCTCGTTTGTTCCCACGGCTCCGTTCATAGCCTAAACATCTATTATTGTAACTTGAGTTGTAGTATACAGGCGTAGATGGTGACTAATGATGCATCCTCGACTAGACTGGGTTTTTATACCTAACTTACGTCTCTATGTTACCAACTCACTGTGACAGAGCAGCGACATTATCCGAAACCTATCTTGAGTGAATATCAAAAGACTGAACTGTGAAAGTCCTATTGACTGTACAAGTAAAACCCAATTAACCTAACATTGATATCCAAGACTTCGAACCCTTCGTGGAATAAAACATTCAATACAAAGATATAACAAAGTTAAAGTGATTACTATATCGCCTCCGTAGCTTGCGCTTAGTTCATTTGAAGAGACAACACTAAAGGGCTTAGATAGTAGGATTGTTTCTAAGGCATGTACTTAATCCCCACTGCTCTGGCAACCGGAAAGTGGATTAATTCATACCGACTTAGGATTAGGTAGAACTAGTGCACATGGGCGAAACAGAAAACCAGTTCTGTAATTGTAATATGCATATATGCTTTATTTGGAACAACTTTAAAGGTCACTTTAACTATCGGAATAACCGATTAGGTTTCTTCATTTCGGCTGGAAAGGCAGATTTTCATAAAATATTGAAGCCTTATTCAGTTATTTCATTTGTTGCAGGATGGCCTTTAAAGTCACATCATGACAAGCCTAGAAACTCATGACTGAATCACATGTCTGTCGGAACAGTGATGAGTCACCACACTTTCCCCTGTTCGTCCCATGATGTCGGGACAGTAACACGAGTGACATCAAAGGCCACCGTAGCAACAACCAATAGGTATCTCTGTTCCTCTCGAAAAGCAGTTTTTAATAAAAGACAGATCTCCTGCTGTTGGTTTCCCCAGATGTTGTCAGGGTGGGCATTATGCTCACTGCAATAACAAAGTGAAGCTGAGATTCTTGTCTTGGCGACTAGAGATATAAAAGTACATCAACTCATTTTGGAAAATAAAGTAACTAAACAACGAATAAGCATTCGCCAACGTGAAAGATCATGATAGCGTTATGATTGGGTGTGATTTAATCGTTTCCAAAATGGTTATCGTAAGTGAAACGGAAAACAGTATCTCAGTAATTTGTTATAAAAAGAAGTATGAAGTCTGGTCAGACATGTGTGTGACAAGTGTTTATCGTTTACTACCAAAGGCAGTGAATTTCAACTGATTGTTTCTGCACAGGTTAACTGTGTGAATAAGCATGCGTACCAGTGTTATTACCCGGGCATGGGTTCAAAATTGTAGTCTATCCTGGTTTTGAAGTGAACGTTGTTGGTCATGGAGTTACACATTAAAGTCATCATATCAATAAGTATTGGCTGAGATAGGTAGTGTAGTGTGTTAAAGTATGTAATAGATTGTTAAAGTGGGATACATTGACTTAGAAGGTTGGATAGTAGTGTAACTGGCATATGAAAATCCGCTGTTTCTTATGGAAATGTAGCTCATTTGATTGTCAAACATTGGGTCCTGGATTTAGACAGCACTTTATGTGTTGTACGCTGAGCTATGTGGTATTATTACAAACGCTCAGACATTAAGTGGGGTCCACATCGTGGTTCATAAAACTATGCTGGCGTATTCAGTTACGGTTTCGCAGATTAAGCGTTTATACTTGAGTTCTATCCGAATCAGTAGTATTCAATAATAGGCTTATTTGCAGATATAGCAAATATTCTCTTTCAATTTGGAGGTCTGTAGGGATTTATTTGTTTCAGGTTCGTATTTATCATGGACTGACAACAGTTGGACGAACATTGGAAACCTGGGAGCGCCATACATCTGTTTGGTCTTAGTTTGGGACTCTAGCAATGCGCACCCATGACCATGCCAGGGGTCGAACTCATAACCTTCAGGTCCCAGCACGTTACCATTGACCCGCTGGGTTGGAATCCAATGGTCCATATTCCCTACTTCCGTTGGTCCACGATATAGCGCGACCTCGATCCAATACCGTCGTTGAGGAACTGTCCTCATGTTCAGTCTGGTTGACTCTACTGGTCACAGCTTCCCATTAGAACTTCAGAAATCACCTTACGAAGCTAGTCACCAGACTTCCAATGTTCCTTTAACTAACATCAGTCCATGATGAATACCAACCTGATATTGTCATTTTATTGAAAAATCCATGAAACGAAGCATCGGTATGTATTGCTCTTCTCAAATCATATTGTAGTGGGCGTTGCTGATAAGAACAAATATAAGTAGTATGTGTTGGGAGAGCGGCTGAAATCATAGGGAATTACCAGCAATGGGTAAGGATTCTGCCATAAGAAACGCAGGTGTATGAAGAGCAAATCAAGAGGGAAGCAGAGGGGGAGATGAAGCACATTTCGCAAATGACTGTTTTAGTGCAAGGTGTATCATATTTAACGACTACTGTCTCACTTGTTGACAATAAACATTCCCTCTTCATATCTGTCTTCTTGCTTCTTTCAATATAACCAGCTACTCAACAGATGTATCATGGCGGGTTGATGTGCAGGAACCAAGTGAAGCTTGCATAATTGCATAACAGTTCAACTTGCAGGACTTTTCATTAGTGAATCACAAGGAAATTAAAATAAGGAAGGATAAATGAGCGAAGATAGTAGTAATGTCATGGTCTGTAAAAAAAAACTCAACGTCAATAAGGTGATATGAGGAATAAAGAAAAGATAATCAGTAGTAGGATTTGCACGATGAAATTGCATGGATGCATGTGCAAAACTGCGATCGATTTCGCTCATTCTCACCTAAGAGGACTAACTATATTGATGGTCCACTTGAAATGGATATTCGTTACTTATTCCACTTTCACAGTTAACAGTTGATAAATATGGATAAAACTCCTCAGGGTAAACAAGGGGATTATCAATTGTCGTTGGTGTTTTGCATCAAATGTATGCTTATTGGCTTGTTGGTGTGTGTGAATGAGCCAATTTCTCTTGTTATAAGGAATTTGGCTATTAAAATCAGTACTCTCCAATTTGTGATAGGTAAACCTGAATTTGAAATCAGCCCTCAAAAATATTTCACTTGAAACATTTTTATCGTCTATACTATGACTAGTTCACGATAATTATAGTTGAGTTCACCATTCCCGTACTTTTGCGTTGATATCACCTGCGTTTTTTTTGTTGAGAAATTCTCTCTCCTTGTTAGACATTACTTTCGATATGATTCTCTGCATTAGTAGTAGTACATTAGGAAACAATTCTTGAAAACTGAACATTATTTATTGAAGAAACCAGAATGTGAGCTGTAGTTGGCTATAACTCTTTTTACCATAACATCACTACTTAGAAGGCAATGATCTATGTAACGCTGCATCCCCTAATGACATCAGATAGCCAGATATGATCAGGCATTTCGGTAACTAGTCGATTGGGAAGTTAAAAGGTATGGGAATTACCAGCTGCAGTCTCAGTTTACAGAATCATAACAAAAAGTGAGTAACGATCAAATATTAGGTCCGACGGATACAGGAGCGTTCTGCCTCTTTCCTGTCGTCAATATTTAGGACTAGGTCGCTCAGTCTTTCATGCCACATGGGTTCCTCGTACGGATGTTTCGGTAATGGTTAGTAAGTGGGATATAAGGCGTGAGTTTAGTCGTAGATGGGATGTGCGCTTCCATCATAATGAGTCTCTACTGTGACTCAAAGTAGTATTCACTGCAATCCAGATAAATCCAGATGATGAGTCCCAAATAGTAGGAAATATGCGTCCTGGAATCTATTGCTAGCCAAGACTATTTGCGCAACCAAGATTTGAATACAGCCAACACCAAAGCATCTTTACAGTGAGACCCCTCTACCAGTGGGGATTGGTCATTTCTACCCTATTGACTAACAACCGGAAAGATTAAATATGCGTCGTACATTACGTGTGATTAGCGTACAGATTACAAATCGAAGTTAGCATGCATACATGTTATTATTATTCTAATCTCATACTTATTGACTATCAATTTGTGAGTGCAAGTTTACAAAAAGTCAGCCTTTTTTGTCAAGCTTCAGAAACTTCCTGTTAATCACTTTAAAATTAACCTATTATTAGGAGTAATGTCAGTGATAAACGTCTTTCATCTGTATGAATTACTAGGTATGCTTATTTTACTTCACCTCGTTAGTTAGTCGAAGTCAGTATGCCTGCTTGCTAGATTTTGTGCAGTTGGAAACAATTCATTACATTATGGGACCTTAATTGTTCTTGCTTCGTTTAAGACTATTTTGGAAATCAAATACGTATAAAATCGGTTCTAGCGATTATAGCCATCCAATTCGTTATACTGATTTCAACTCTTCTCATTACAGTAATAGGTAGCGTTACAAGGCTATTTTGAAATAACCACCCGGTTATATCAGTATCGTCGTAAGAATGCTTTTCTTAGGTGTGCATATCGATACTTTTTCTCAAGTGGTATCTATAGCCATTCGAAGTGGAAACCTATTTCTACAGAAGAAAGCCAGCTTCACCATCTGCGACTTGTTTTCTGGTCTCTTTCTGCTCATCTAAAAGTGAGACCGTCAAGTGGAAAATATACAACCAACACAAAAGAAAACTTCTGGGGTCAGGCGTCGAGTTCAAAATAGATGGAAGCCACTTGAATGTAGTCACGAACCTACATTGACTCAAGTAGATACGATTCGCGTTACACATACCTAGTCTTCGTTTACCGCGGTTCATTATGATGGTTGCAGCAGAGTAATTCTGAAGAGAGTTAAAGATGGTCAGGCTGAAACATGGAGTTTCTGACTATCTGAGTCCTGCAGAAAACTACAGGCTTCTAGAATAAACCTCTTGTAATAGCGTTAACCAATGATTGACGAACCTAGGTAATATGACTCAGTATTGATCTCAATGGTACAAATTCATCCTAATCAGTCTATCTCATTTTGTTATTTGTTATTTTGGTTCCTTATGTCATGCGACTACTTTTTAGATCTTTTGATCGCATTTTCGGCCTATTTATTTCATTTTACTGCCTTGTATCTAAATGCAGTGAGGTTGAGGTGTGACAGTGTCATCCCTGGTCCTTTCGTGATGTTGATCTGATTGTTTGAACAGGTGAGTTTCAGGGTGGTTTCACTTGACTAATCGAATGAAATAAGGTCAACTTTAAGTCATCAGTAAGTAAATTTAGTGTGTTATTGCTAATAGAAATTGTTGGTTAACCTGAAGAAAAAGTGTTTACTTGAAGGACCCATTATAACAACTGTCCTATATTCTTGTGTTAACCTAAATTTAGACTTCTGAGGAAGCTATTCCTCAGTTTACGTCGTACTCCTGCTTGGTAATTGAAACCAGGCATCCTCACACAAACGCCTTGACTAGTGATATTTTGGCACATGGGGTTTCTCTTAACAGCTACTTGTACGAAGCATGTCTTTTAGCAAATCTAATTAGCTAAATTACTTTTCTTGTAGGACTATCTCGGTTGAGATTGTTATGGATAATATTTCACAAATAATTATTCTAATTTATTCTTCCATTATTTTAACTATATTTTTGATGATGTGGAATTATGGACAAAAGAATTATCTGGTGATTATGCGTATTTACACATAAATTACCAACAATGTATCGTATGTCCTCGCTTATTTTTTTCTCACTCTTCCACTTATCCATAAAAATCCTTTTTTTTCTCCTAGACATGCACTGAACTCAAGCCATTATGTCAAAACAGAAAGAATTGTGAGAGAATGATTAACAAGTTTTTGCAAGAAATTGTATCATATCGGTCTGCACTATCCACTATCGATGCTACCAGTAACAATAATAATGATATCGGCAATCATTGTTTATCAAGATATTATCCGATCACATCGAATTGTTTTAATGATATGTCTAATAATCTGAATATCATGATATGTGAAAACAATAACATCGGTGAGTGAAATATTTCAAGGTTGACAATTAATTGCTTTTCAGCCACACATATCATTGTTATTGGGTGTTAGATTTCCATGATACTGCTCATTCTTATTGAGTTATCAGTAGAAGCGTAACTTCTGTCATGATTGGTAATGTTGACTTTAGACTGAATGACTTCACGGTAGTGTGTCGAAAAGCGCTTTTCCTTATGAATGACTTCTGTAACTTCCAATGGACATAATATAACTTGTTTATCCCCATAAGAGCTCATATCTCATCATTTTGCTACTTTTTACTTTACTGCGGGAAGAAAAAGAGTATCAACTGAACTAATTTCATGCACCTGTATCCTTGAAGCCATTAAACAAGACCTGATTAAAGTTCTTCAGTCTTGGTTGTATTGTGTTCTCTGAGCTGGGTTGTTTAATCGTGAAGCTTTCACCGTCTTTTTAGACAACATCATCAGCACTAACTTCAGTATAAAGTTAGCTGTTAATAACTCCATGAATGATTTAGGGGCTTGCTCTGATGATGTCTGCGATTGGTTGTCTATACATCTGTTGATTGCTGACTGACCTGAATGTCAAGCTTCACTACTTTCTATTGCTTCTAACCAGTTTTTTCTTTCACGTTACTACTTTGTCATTCGATGTACTGATATGAGACATGACAACAGCCGTCACGCAGCAGCGTCTGGTCCTATACTGATATTGTTGGTGGTGAAACCCATTTGTATCAACTTCCTGTCTTGAAGTTGTTAGTGTCGTACTTGGCCTTAAAACCGAAGCTGCACCAGCCAACTAGATTCTCAGTCATTCATATGGTGTTAGGGTAGGAAGTTCGCTTAGTGTAAGAAGTAACTTTCGAAAGCAATATCCTCTTTTTGCCATCTGTAGCTATATTTTTTTGGACTGCAGCCAGAACACAACTAATTATAATCACTTCATTTTCAGAAAAGTCATTTACCCCGAAAGAATGCTTTCAGTAGATACTATAGTGCTAACTAGAAACTTGGTTGCTCATGTTGCGCTTCCATATTTGAAAGAGATTGGTACAGGGCTAGAAGCAACTTATCGTCTGCATTTGTATTCAGCATTTTAAGCTAAGTACACTATTCAGCTACTTCAAAATGATGCTCTACGTAGAGCAGAATTCGCTTAAATCGTCTTCAGTTTCTAAATGTTTATTCGTAAACTGTTCAAGTAAGCTTGAATTCCGCTACGTATGTGTTAAGGACTTGGTCTTTCAAATTACTTAACATGGACCACTATCAGGCAGTGGACTACTGAAAGCCAGGGAACACTCAAGAAATATTTCGTCATCGTTTAGACCACCCCAGCAGTACGCACTCAAAATTCTATGTTGATTCCAACACAAAAGTCAGATTGCACGGCAACCATATTTAGGCACTTGGTTCTAGTATATCAATGTGCTACATAGTGCAACCGTTGTTCAGTGTCATCGATGAGTGACTATATCCACATCCAAATTGATTGACTCTATTTGTCATGTCAGCTGTTTAGAAATTCAGGAAGTTCATCTTGATGCAATCTGTTAGTGAGCACTAAATCATTAGACTGTGAACTTTGAAAAGGAGTGACTGATTTTAAAGTGCTCCTCATAAATTGTATTGAAGTACTTTTCTCGCTTATCAGGATTCACTATCTTTCATTTGTAAGTTTGATGTTGCTTAAGGAAAGCTTGATTTGAGAAGAGAAATTTTAAAAACCACACAGTTCAGTGATATGCTTACAAGTAAGCCATCAGACAATTTGGTTTTGCAAATGTTTTGTTACGATTGAGCGTGCCTACGAGTACATAATTATTGAATTATTGCTCCTCTTTCCTCGTTGTAATGTGGTCTTAATATGGTTTTTATTAGTGGTTTGTGGGGACCGACTAACTTCAAACTAACTTTCGTCACACATTGACGACATCCTCTGGAGAACCACTTCAGACCTGAGAGAAATGGACAGCTGTTTTATCCTTACTTTACTTAAGATCCCTTTCTTTTCGTGAAAGGCCATGACCTTTGTAGTCAAAAAGGTAGAATATAGAGAGGAATATTTGCTGATGACATTCAGTGATTGTTACGCTAAAATGCGGACTGACAGGCTCAAAATGTGGATTGAGGAATTTCAACTCTGTGACTGGGTGATGATAAAATGCTCGCCGCAAGACGTCGCAGTTCTTGGTTGCATCCTTCATGGGGATTGTAAGTGAATCCCGAACTAGGCTGAAACAGCTCCCGAGGGCTGTGATATTTTCAGTTGCTCTTCAACTGTTTCAGTGTGTGACGAAACCTACGATGATAGTTGCTATTGGTTGTTATCACCTGAGATGATTCATATTTCAAACGTAAAGGGACTTATTCTTCTTTGGAGATTTCTATATGTGTTGCACTGCTTATGCTTACCTTGGCTGTTTATTTTTATTTCTAACTTGAAGCATATTTCTTTCAGTTAGGTAGTTTTCCCTTTTTTTTATAATCAAGGTAAATTTATCTGCACTCATGGAGTATTGGCAGAACATCCCGAATCCCTTAACTTAGCTCTAATAAAATCAATTTCTTTGTTCCAAGTAAGTTATGTCAGATTATTTTAATAATAACTTACTAACTTTTCACATGTCTTGTTGATAATCTATTTCGATCAAATAACTTGCCTAATCCTTTTCTTATTTTTAAGATTGATAGCGAATTCAAATACCTTAGCATTCATTTGTGATAACAACTTTTTCCAGAGCTCTAAGTAAAGTAGTTGAGACTGATTGCGACCTACTTTTTTAGAGTTATTGTCTAGGATATTGCTCGGTTAGTTGTTTGGTTTTTCAATATATTAAGCTAGTTAGTAGTGTTTTCTAGCTCACACAAATTAGTCGCATCAGCATACTGTGTAATTCTCAATCACATTTGCGAGTTTTCTGCAGCATTACTTCTTATTCACCGGGATGTGAACACTGGTGAGGTCAAAATCGTGACGTGCAATCAAGTTATGTGTGTATTTGAAATCAGAAGTAAGCAACAAACATTAAATAAAGCAGGATTCCAATGAATCCGTAAATTTCAATAGGACTCATCAGCTTTTTACCCTACATTCATGCTTTTAGGGCAACTTTAGAGGCCACTCTAACAACGATTGAAATAACCAATTAGGTCTCTTCATTTCGAATGGAAAGGCAGATTTTTATAAAGAACAAAAATTTAATTGGTTGTTTCAATTGTTTCTGGGGTGGCCTTTAAAGTCAGTCTGGTTCGTATGTTGTTGTGCAATAAGGGGATACATACACATATAATACAGATGAAGACATTGGATAAGTCGTGGCAACATGCGGTGAGTAACTTAGTGATAATAATAATAATAATAATAATAATAATAATAATAATAATAATAATAATAATAATAATAATAATAATAATAATAGCAGCTTTATTCCAAACAGGGCTCTCAAGGTACAGTAAGGAAATATTAACATGTAGTAGTTCGATAAATTCATCCTCTTTACAATATCTTTAAGCGAAGTAATCATTGCATTTGAATAATATTATTAATAACAGTAATAAAAGGCACAATGTGAGATAGACACCTGGTATCGTTTTCGCGTCTGGTTTGGAATGGTGAATGGAAAGAATATCACGCGTAATTTTGGTAGTGCTAGTTGATTCTAGCCAATGTCGAAATCTACAATTTGACATGGTTATCCAAGAGACAGTAATATACTCTATTTCTGTGCATTTATAAAGCTATCTCTCATCGGTGTATAGTTTATTCTTCTTGTTAGCTTAAAAAAGCAACAACTTGGAATCATTTTAAAAGTGTACAAGAGTACTTCAAGCACTTAAACAACATGTTTAAAAGATTAAAACAAATTGAAAGGGAATAATTGGATGAAATATATATTCTGTGGAAAATTTTTTCGGCAGCTCAAAGTTTAAGCAGGTCTCCTTTAGTTAATATAAAACTAAGAATAGGTTGGATAGGATAACAAGTTAATAATGAAAAATAAAAGGACTAGGGATGGATTATATTTCTAAAAGAACAATTAGTAGTCAACTAGATAGCTTGATAAAGGTGCACACTAAAGGAACATAGGTGTTGAGCAAACAAAAGTATTGATCGTACTAATGCCAATACGGGTAAATGATAATGGTGATAAGGTAAACGATGAAATATGGATGTTGAAAAGAACAAAAATTACGACACTTTGAACAGGATAGGTGGAAATCAATTAAGAAGCCTAGTATCAAAAACGAAACCCACTCAACCACCTTGTGTACATCCGTGCAGTAGGTGACGAGCCACAGCTATTGTGCTAGGTCTAGTGATACTACCTGGCTGCTGAAACCTCAGTAGGTAGAGTGGGATTTGAACTCGTGACCCACTTGTTAAAAGTCATCTCCCTCAACCAATAAATCACACTTCCACGTATAAAGGGCTGGAGTATTAGTTAGTCCGTAGCAAAGATAATAAAAATAATAGCGATGGAGATAAGTCGCTTGACTATTCAGCGGAGAGGTTCAAGAGGAATATCGATACTCAAGAGGTGAATATGCGAAGCAGAGGAAGAAGTAAAATGGAAAAACAAACACTAATAGAAACTATAAGGTTCAAGGTACTTTTACACTTCTGCCATGATAGATATGGATTCAGAGTGACTGCCGTCTCTTTCTGTACACATAAGCTCGGTTTGCGAAATCCAATTGCACATGCTTCCACTATTAGAAGCAGTTTTTTATCCCTCTGCCTGCTTACAGCCGAGATCTTGAAAACCCCAACTTCATGTCAGTGATCCACTAGATGCTTCGTAGCAGAACTTCGTGTGATTTTAGATTCAACTTGTCATTTAGGTAAATGCTCAGTTATGTGAGAAGATAAACACCTTTACTTATGACCTCTATAATTACTTCCACAAGTACATTCGAATTGGTATATTCAGTTTGATATGTCGAGGATCGGAGTAATATCTTTTCCCGATTGTTGCATCACCCGCCTGGTGGTGCTTAGAAGTAGTAGTTTAGCTGCATATAAGGTTCTTTTGATAGCTTTTTTTAGCCTCCGTTTAACTACTTCTAAGACAGAGTTCCCTTTAATTCCTTATTGGATTTGTTTATTTGATTGAAAACACACAGTGATCTAGTATTATTTGGTGACGTTTTGAGCATAAATTATTGCTCATAATCATATCATCATATGATATGTCGAATAAGGTTTTTATTGGGTTATATTGGCTTGAAACAAAACTCATGGAGCGGAGATATTGTCCAAACCATGAAGGTTTCCTATTGGTATTTTCACTACATAGTAGTAAAAGTCTCCGCAGTTCTTTTGGGGCAGGTATATCACCAATCTCTTTGGATATAAATCCAATAGTTTCAATGACTGGGACATTTTTGAATATAGAGGCAATATCAAATGACGCAAGGTACTTACTACTATCATCTAAGTTGGCAGCATTTAGGACGAAGTTGAATGGATCGGAAACGGTATGTTCTCCAGAGCGTTTGCGTTACTTGTTTTATACAAGAGAAGCAGGTAGGGATAGTTAAATTAAAAAAATATTGCATACTTTGATTCTAACCAATAACCCATCAATTAATGATCATTCCTTCACATTCAGTAATCTACTTCATACCTTATTGCTGCAAATGGTCATTCTGTACTAACATATAACAGCAGAGTCGATTACTATAATACACTAGAACCTGCGAAACATTTATATACATCGAAGACTAAATACTGTCGAATTGCAGTGCTGTGAGTTCATTCAGTTAACTCTTGAACCATTGTATCGTAGTTCACATCCTACATCAACTAATTTAATCGAGTTGTCATTCATCGTAGACTGACATCAGTTGGAGGAACAAAGGAAACCTGGGAGCACTGGACATCTGTTTCGTCCTAGTATGGGACTCCTCAGCAGTGCGCACCCACGACCCCACACCAGCAGGGATCGAACCCGCGACCTTCAGGTTCCTCGGCCAGCGCGTTACCATTGAGCCACTGGATCAGAATCCAATGCTCCATATTTCCAACTTCTGTTAGCTCACGATGTCAGTCTACGATGAATAACAACTTGAAATATTTCCAAATCTTCACAACTCCCTCATAATTTAATCGAATTGACTGAGTATTGTCACACTTTCAGTAATTTTTTACTATGTTCTAACTTGTAAATAAATGGGGCGCGATAATCAGCCGTCGTACTACAGATATTGAAGCGCTAGAATTTACTGGATAATGAAGACTCAATAATATGGTTCTCAAAGATCCGACTGATTTTTATTTATCCATAGAGATATTGAATACTTATTCAGTTTTGTTTCCTGTATGTATTGCAAAGTGTTGTAATAATAGTATCCCCCCCCCTTTGCACTAGTTTCGAAGTTGGTCTCAATGTTTGTCAGCTGACTGTTAACTTGAATGATTTAAGTTTTTTATATCTTGAAGAAATAAGTTCTGTGTTCAGGTTTTATACAAGCATAAAAACATGCAAGAACTTATCAGTTCATTAGTGCAAAACATGAAAACATTTGCCTTCGAATGTATCTGTTTTTCAGTGCCACCCAACACGAAGTTTTCTTTTGTTTAGTTTCGCCAGTTTTTTTTTTTAAATGTTTAACCTAAAACTTGATTTCATCATGACTCTAATGTAAAATTTTATTCTAGTTCGATATTTCTGCATAAAAATGCTGATTGACTTTAAATGGCCAGAAATGACTCATGAAGTACTTTGTCTGTTTGCCTTATCCATTATTGTTATTATCATTATTTATTTTTTTAAGCCCACCCAATTATTGGATAAATCATTTTTCAAATAGACAGGATTACGTAATCGTTTTCTTTCGAAAATTCGTCAGGGGTTATCTAAACAATATTATTAGATGGAGTAAAATTTCATTTAATCGATTTGACAAATAACGTTGTAATTATTGATAACTCTGAGGTGCTTAAACAACGAACAAGGAAAAGAATGGTTATTAATAAACAAGGGGATTATTGTTAGGTTAGGCGTATGCAAAACATACACACCTTGGGTTTCTTGAATGTTCTAACAAAAGGATTATTGATTACAGGAGGAGTGCACACTACACTTGGGATAAAGTTTCCAGTCTCAGAAAAAAAGCCCATTCGTTCTTAGTGTTTTTGTTAGGTGTTGGCTACAAGATGTAGAGTTTGGATTCCTAATCGACTACTTGATGTATGTTAAAACTCCAAGTCATATGTTGTCTAATTTATTTTGTGTGGCATCAAGTCTTCTAAGTGAAATAGGATAAGGGTTAAGGTACTTATCACTAAACTAAGACTTAGAAAATGACATGTTTAGTGTAACTCAAAAGCGTACAAACATTTCTGTATGTATTTTCAGCCTACGAAATGAGCATCAACCCTGGATGTAGAATGATGGGAACAGTCATTTACAAGAATATGTATCATAACATTACACGTAACATAAAAAAGACCTGGACAACATTGTCAGAAACAATGAAATCAGTATCTAGTCTAGTCCCACAGGAGGTCAGTCGTGATGTGAATAGCTTAGTGTGTTATCATCTCTGACCGCAACATTGAGTGATGCGGGTT